ACCGAAGGCGCAGAATTTTCCGTACAGCGCGCGCTTGCATGTGTGCTTTGAGTGCCATGCCGCACAAAGTCTCATGCTTTCCAACTCTGCACTTCTTTTTTGTTCCTGTTTTTCTTTCCTGGCCTTTCACTGGGTATGTTTTCCCTTTGAATGTCATGCCGCACACGGCCTACGGTTTTGTTTTCCTTTGACTCCCACCCTGTGGATTAAAAGCGCTCTTGAAAGTGTTTCTTTTTCCCTGGGACCTTGCCCGGACCTGGCCTTGCCGGGCCACCTGGGAGGCAGCGCAGGTGCCTGGGCTCATAGCCCAACGTTGTTTTTGTTTTTTTTCGTTTGACGTGGACTATTGTTCCGTCAAGTGGCGCATCTATATCGTCCCTGTCGCTAACCTGTGCCATGAATGACAGCATCCTTGGAAATGGAATTTTGGAGCAGCACATACCCATCTGTAAAGAAGAGAATTGGCCGCAGCATCTTTCTCCAACCTTTTTCTTCTCCCTGGGCCTTGGGTGGGACCTTGAAAATATAACGTTGAAGGAGTGGCTCTCAGGTGACGTGTTTTGTGTGTTGTCATGTTAGCTATACACAACTCCAGAAGAAAAACGGGCATGACTGTTTCGCTGGATTCACCAACTTGTCAGGAGGCTGAACTCCGACTGTGTGTGTGTGTGTGTGTGTGTGTGTGTGTGTGTGTGAAAACAGACAAGCCCCTCCCCCCCCCTGGCCAGCCCTCCACAGGGAAGGGGGAAGTGCAGACAACACAGAAAGCACACAAGGCAGGGAAAAGACCAAGAAGCAGCAGACAAGAAAAGTACAAGTACCAAAATACAAAAAAGCAAAAACAAAATAAAAAAAATCATTTAAAAATGATGATAGATTGTTTTGACGGACGTGCGCCAACTCATCATGATGCTGAACCGTCGACAATGTGTGCAGTCCCGATATTGATGCTGTGAGTCATGGACTCTTGTAACCCCTGTGGAGATTGGGCTGCATTTAGACAACACCTCAAACAGAACATAGCAGCACGGCAACGGCTCAGCAAAGCACTAGGCAATGCAAACTGGCCCTCCCAGCTATACGACGCCACAGGTAACTGCACAGAACGACACAGGGCAAGCGGAACAAGCAGCTCAGCAACAAGACGGCAGCGCGGGCCAAACAGCCGAACTACACGGCACACAGCGAACTGCAGAGGAAGATAATGTGCGCAGATGGGCAGCAAGGCAGCGATGCAGCGAGGCACAAAGCCACAACACTGACATAGAAACCAAAGTACACGACCCCAGCTATACGACACCATAGCTAATAACTGTGGGACGACAGCGCAAGTGGACGGGCGGCCAGGCAACAACACAGCAACACGGAAGGCAGCGCTGGGCAAACAGCCAAACTACACGTCACGCAAGCAAATTGCACGGGAAGATAATGCACATAGATGGGCAGCAAGGCAGTGATGCAGCGAAGCACAAAGCAACACTGACATGGCCACCAAAGTACACGACAAACAGACAACCTACAGGGAAAGGAATAGCAAGCGGCTGGGCAGCAAGGCAGCGGAGGAGCACAGAAAGGCAGGCCACACATCCAACATGGACCAAAGGAGTCCATGACCTACTTTCATCACAAGTCGAACCCCGCGGACTGTTGGTTCCCTCCACCTGCTGAGCCAGAAAGCCACTGCGATAGACGTCTATCATCACCCATAGACCATACACATCACCGACATCACAAACAGAGCACTCGCCCCACGCTACCGACCTGCCTCAGTTGGTACATCCATCACCGACACCAAAATGCTGATGTCAGCTCAAATCCCAATGAACTGAGATGGGTAAACAACTCTGAATTTACGTGGAGCTGGTCAGTTTGAAGATGATATCTCGACGCCATCGCCCTTTTAACGAAAAAGAAAAAAAGGGAAAAAGAAGAAAAAAAACAGGTGCTCTAAGGTACTGGCAGTAAAACAGACCCCCGCTTCTCGTCCTCCAGTTGTTTTCAGCCACAGCCGGGTACTGTCACTCGTATGTTGCGCAGGGGTGTGTGTGTGTGTGTGTGTGTGTGTGTGTGTGTGTGTGTGTGTGTGTGTGTGTGCGTGCACATTCCCAAGGTATATCTGTGCTCTCTGACGAACATTTGCAGGATTTATTTTTATTTTTTTTCGCCGGAATATTCTTAGAGTCCTTGGCAGCATAAAGGAGGAAGTTGCCATCTTCTCCAGAGGAAAGGGACGGGGTGAAAGAGTCGCGGGGTAAACGATTGACAGGGTAAAAAAAAGGTGATGAGGTAAAAGAAAAGGAAGCGCGAAGAAGGGAAAAAGGAGCTGTAGCGTTATGTCACAGCACCATCAGCAGCAGACACACAATCGGAAACGAAAAACTCCGAAAAAAGACATGTTGGAGCAGGCAGAAAAAGTAGTTTGCAGTTTTCGTACGGTTGTTTCAGGGTCAGATCTTTGCAGTATATCATAAGGAGCAGGAGGGGGAGGGGGGGNGGGGGGGGGGGGGGGGGGGGGGGGGGAAGAGAAATCCTGAGGGGATTCGTGTCTGCACGCAAGAGTCGGATCTTTGCAAGAAATCACAAGGAGCAAGAAGGGGGGGGCAATGCTGAGGGGATTCATGTCTGCACGCAAGAGTCAGATTTTTGCAGTAAATCATAAGGAGCAGGAGGGGGAGGGGGAGGGGGGGGAGGGGGGAGAAATCCTGAGGGGATTCGTGTCTGCACGCAAGACAAATTTTCTTTGTATCATTGCTGATTCTTCAAACTTTGATGGGTCCCGAAGAACCTACGACTTGAGAGTCGAGAAATAAAGGTTACCTAGTTTTCCTGTACCTCATGTTGGCTGTGATGCAAGGTGATGTGCCCTTCCGTCAAACCGCTTGTGACCCTAGCAAACTCACACTATCACCTTCTTTATGCAGAGTCCATTGGGCCATTCGTACGATGGTCGCAATTGCTGCAAGATCCAGTCCTGTCAGCCTAATGAGAGTATGACATTGTATGCGATTAGCCCGTTGGGCTGATTAACCCCTTAGGCGGCCTTTTCTTCCAG